GGTGCTAGATCACTGTCGTTTCTTATGATTGAGTAATATTCCATTGTAAACATATACCAAATTTTGATAATCCATTCATGGATTGACGGGCTGAATCTTCTTTTTCTTAATCTAGCTAATGGTTTGTCAATTTTATTGATCTTTCCAAAAAAGCAACTCATAGCTGTGTTAATATTTTTCTATTTTTTTTATATTCTCCATTTCATTTATTTCTGCTCTAATCAAAAGTATTTCCTTCTTTCTGCTAATTTTGGGCTTAGTTTGTTCTTCTTTTTCTAGGTCCTTAAGGTCTAAACTTATGTTGTTTGAAATATTTCTTCTTTTTTAATGTAGATGTTTTTTGCTTCCCTTTCTGTCTTAGTACTACCTTTCCAGCACCTCATAAATTTTAGTATGTTGTAGTTTTGTTTTCATTCATCACCAGATATTTCCCCTCTGATTTCTTTGACCCAGTGGTTGTTCAAGATATTTCAATGTATCTGTGAATTTTCCAGTTTTCCTTCTGCCAATTAATTTCTAGTTTCATTCCATTGTGTTTGGAAACTATATTGGTATGATTTCAATCTTCTTAAATAATACTTGTTTTGTGACCTAATGTGTGATTTATCTTGGAGAATGTTTCGTGTGCACTTGAGAAGAATGTGTATTCTGTTGCTATTGGGTGGAATATTCTGTATATGTCTGTTAGGTTCATTTTGTCTGTAGTATTGCGTTAGCCATCTATTTTCTTACTGATCTTCTGTTTGGATGGTCTAATCATTATTGTAATGATCTTCTGCTTGGATGTTGTGATCATTATTGAAATCCCCTACTATTATTGTGTTCCTGTCAATTTCTCCCTTCAGTTCTATAAATGTTTGCTTCATACAAACATTTTGGTATTGATTTCTCCCTTCAGTTCTGTAAATGTTTGCTTCATACAAACATTTCGGTGTCATAATGTTGAGTGCATATATTTTTATAATTATTGTATCTTCCTGGTGAATTGACCCTTTTGTCAGAATATCCTTCTTTTTCTCTTATACGTTTTTACTGCCTGATGTAAGTATAGACATTTTGGCTATCTTTTGGCTACCATTTGCCTAAAACATCTTTTTCCATCCCTTCACTTTGTGTCCTTAAATTTAAAGTGAGTCTTTTATAGAGAACATATAATTGGATCACCTTTTTTTAAAAATCCATTCAGCTTCTCTATGTACTTTGATTGGACAGTATAATCCATTCACATTTTAAATCATTACTGATAGGGAAGAATTATTATTGCTATTTGGTTAATTATTATCTGTCTATCCTGTAGCTTTTTGTCCTTATTTTCTATTTTGCTGTCTTTCTTTGTGTTTTTTTTTCTTTTGTTTATCTTTCGTGGGCATTTCATTGTGGTTACCATGGAGGTTACATAAAACATCATGTAGTTATAACAGTTCATATTAAGCTGGTAACAACTTCAGTTACATATAAATTCTCTATGCTTTTACTCCCCATCCTTTATATTATTGATGTCACAAATTGCATCTTGTTATATTTTGTGTTCATTAACATATTTTTATTCTATAGTTATTTTTTATGCCTTATCTTTTAATTTTTATACCAGAATTAAGTCATTTATGTACTTGTTACAATATTATGGTATTCTGTATCTGTCTACGTTTTTACTTTTACCAGAGAGTTTTATACTTTCTTCTGCTTTTGTGTTGCTGTTTATAATCCTTTGGTTTCAACTTGAGAAATTTTCTCAATATTTCTAATAAGGCAGGTCTGGTGGTAATGAATCTCTCAGCTTTTGTTATCTAAGTAAATCGTTATTTCTCCTTCATTTTGAAGGAGCCAGATAGAGTATTCTTGGTTGCCAGATTTTTTCTTTCAGCAGTTTGAATATATTATCTCACTCTCTTCTGGCGTGCAAAGCTTCTGCTGAGAAATCCACTGATAGTCTTATGTACAAACCTTGTACATAAAAAATATCTTTTCTCTTGCTTTCAAAATGTGATCTTTTTTTAACTTTTGACAATTTGATTATAACGTGTCTCAGTGTGGATTTTTTTGGTTTCAGCTTAGCATATTGTAGGCCTCTTGAATTTAGGTGTCCATATCTTTTCCCACTTTTGGAAAGATTTATTTCTTTCCTTTCTGTCTTTTTTTCACTCTCTTCTCTGGAACTCCCAAAATGCATATATTGGTGTGCTCAATGGTGTCCCGTAAGTCTCTTAGCCTTTCTGCACTCTTTCTTATTCTTTTTTTCCCTCTAACTGGATAATTTCAACTGACCTATCCTCATGTTTGGTAATTCCTTTTCTTCTGCTTGATCAAGTTTATTGTTGAGCTTCTCTAGTGAATCTTTCAGTTCAGTTATTGTATTCTTCAACTAATGCATATCATCTATTTATTATTTATAGAGTTGAATATATAACATTAATGATTCTTTTTAAGGAAATATTTTTTACTTATTCATAAGTATAATTAATATATATATAAAATTAATCATAGATGAGATGATAGTCCTATTTGAAGAACTTTCATGAATGAGTAAGATCCAGGTTAAGTTTTATCCAAGATGATAGACCCAATAATATTTGAGCTGTAGAATTATGAGTTGCTTAAACTGGAAAGAATATAAAGAACAGCAAATACTTTTTACCTCTCAAATGCTGGGAATACAAGAAAGGAATCTTATAACTCATCTTCAAGATCCAAGAAATTTAAGACCATTATCCAAGTTAACATGACTAATTAATAGCGAATCTTGGATGAAAATCATGAATAGTGTTTCAGTGTTCTCCTACTCCTCAGGTATTAGGTTGCCTCGTATTGCAAACTTCAATTTGCAGATGTTCCTTTTACATTCTTGTTTTTATCCCTCTTTAGGAAAAAAAGACAATTGAGACCCTACTCTCAAGTGCCTAAAATACTTCCATTTCCCAGAAAATATATTTATATACATAGACAAAAACTGAAAAAGACTGAGAAAGAATAACAGTTTTTTTTATAGTGGTGGAATTATAGCTAACCTTACTTTTTAATTTTCATAATTTCTAATGCTATTTATGCAATGTTTTAAAATTTTATAGAGAGACACTGATACACTCATATAAACATCTTACAGACATACAGTATACAGTATGGAGACAGAAATAGATAGTATCATGAAAACACTGGCTTTGAAGCCACACATGATTTTAAAGTCCATTCCTACCATCCATCTACTAGCTGTGTGACTTCAAGAAAATTATGTAACATCTCTAAAATAAGGATCATGATACTAGCCATTTAATATCTGTTGCTTTCAATTTAAACCCCTCCCATCTATGATTTGTATCATAGGGAGCTAGAAACCTGCAAACTGTACTTCCCAAACGTCTTTGCTTGCTGGCTTCAGGTTAGTCCCTGACAAAGGGAGATACTGGCAAGAGACCACAAGGGGAAAAGAATGGAGAAACCATTTTTCTTTTTGTTTCTGGTGGGATCTCTGGCAGATGAAACCATACTTCCAATGGCTTCCTGCTCAGGTAGTAAGGCTCCCGTGGTAGTAGAGCCAGTAGGTTCTATTGCAATGTAACTTAGAAAGATGTTCACCAAAGTATTGCCTGGAATAGCAAAATATTGACAACCATCAAAATAACCAACCATAAGTTGAAGAC